CCGCGCGGCTACACGCCCCTGCCCGACGTGCCCGTGGACGCCTGCGCTGCCCGCCCCAGCCCCCCTGCATCTCCAGCTGCCAGTGGGCCCAGCTGGCTGCTGGCGGAGCCTGCCCAGAGCCCGGGACTGGTGCCACGACCCGACCCCTCCGCAGAGGCGTTGGCACAGCCGGCAGGGCAGGGCGGCGAGCGGCCGCGTGCCCCCAGCTCCCCCGACGGGCAGGGGGAGGCCGAGTCAGGGGAGGACTGGCTCTACGCGGGACTCAGCAAGCCCCGCCGGGCCCGGCCACGGCTCTGCCAGCTGTTCGCGGGCACCTCGGTGCCCAGCCAAGGGGCCCAGGGGGTAGAGGGGCTGGACCACAATGGCCCGGCCGAGGAGGAGTGCGAGCTGATGACTGTCCGCCTCTCCAAGCTCAGGCAGTCCTTGGGTGAGTGGCACCCTGCCGAGCCCCGCACTGCTTGGCTCCCCGCAGCCCCTCCCTGCCCCCTGTGTACCCCGGAGCCCCCCACTGCTGGGCTCCCTGCAGCCCCTCCCCGCCCCCTGTGTACCCCGGAGCCCCCCACTGCTCAGCTCCCTGCAGCCCCTCCCTGCCCCCTGTGAACCCCGGAACCCCCCACTACTGGGCTCCCCGCAGTGGCTCCCTGCCCCCTGTGTACCCCAGAGCCCCCCACTACTGGGCTCCCTGCAGCCCCTCCCTGCCCCCTGTACACCCCCTGAGCCGCCTGCCTCTGGGCTTCCTGCAGCCCCTCCCTGTCCCCTGTGCACCCCTGCAGCCCCTCCCTACCCCTTGTGCACCCCATCACCCCCCGTCGCTGGGCTCCCTGCAGCCCCTCCCTGCCCCCTGTACACCCCCTGAGCCCCCTGCCTCTGGGCTCCCCGCAGCCTCCACCTGTCATCCCAGGCTGCCCCGCTGCTCCTGCACCCTGGCTGGGGTTTTCCCAGGTGGCAGCTGACATGCGGCTGTGGCAGGTTGGCGCCAGGTGGGCTGGGGCACGGTGGGCACCGCGCAGGGGCTGGAGACGGGCACAGTCACGGGGCAGCCGAGTCCCCCCAGGCCATACTCACAGACCCCAGCGCCTGGGCCGGCCGTGGAGTCGAATTTCAGGAACGTGGGAGCCCGTCACGTGGGCGTTTGAAAACCAGCCTGGCCCACGCCCGGGCGGGGTCATAGTTGGGCCCAGCCTGGTCCTGGAGGTCGGGGGGGGAGGGGGCAAGCTGGTATCTGTATTGAAGGGCGCGCTCCTCCCCCCCCCAACTACCATGAGTCTCCATCCAGTTTCGGGTGCCAAAGGCGGGGGACCCAGTACTGGGTGGGCGCAGTGGGGCGCGGGCCAGGGATGGGGCTGGAAGCGGGTGTGAGTACCGGCGCCTGCAATGGTGCCAATGTGGGGTCACTAGCCCTCCGCCCCCCCCGACCCTGCACATCCCAGCTGTAGGGCCGGGGCTGGCTGAAGCGGGTCAGGCCTTGGGGGCCGCCCACAGGTGCCAGGGCCCTGGCACCAGCCGGAGGGGTCCGGGCAGACTGGACAGGTTGGGGCTGCTCCACCGCTACCTCGTTGCCTTCCAGGGATCAGCATCTCGGGCGGGATCGAGTCCAAGGTGCAGCCGATGGTGAGGATCGAGAAGATCTTTCCCGGAGGGGCGGCATTCCTGAGTGGGGTCCTGAAGGTACGGGGAGTGGCGGGGGGGAAGGGCGGGAGCTCCCTGCTGCGGCTGGGGCTAACCCCCAGGGCGGTTAACTGGTCTCTCTGTGGGACAGACCAGCTCTGTGATCAGACACTGGGCAGAGACGGGGGTCCTGGGGGTGCCCAGGGAGGGACGCACAACCGCGGCGCTGGCCGGGGGCTGAGTCGGACACAAAAGCTGAAGGACAGATGCCCAACTGCTCTCCTGCACTAAACTCAGACACCAGCACGGACCTCTCTGCCCGTGCCCCCCACACCTCTCCTCGCGAGATGGCAAAGCGCATGGTGGGTGGTACAGCTCTGCATAGCGGGAGCATCGCGCACCTTTGTGTGCTTTGCTCAGGGGCAAGAGAGGCAAAACGGGTGCCTTTGCCATCAGTAGGGTTCAGAGTTAACAGTCAGTTGGAATGAGAAGGGGCAGTTCAGGCACCCAGAGCCATTGGTTCAGGCTGGCTACAGCCAAAGGCAGGCGCCCTGGCGTCAGGTACCCTTTGGGTCACATTTGGAAGGGTTCTTTGTAAGCGCAAGGCTGCAGGATGTGTCCAGCCTGGAGCTTGATGGCTTCCAGACCCATGGAAGCAGCTGGCAGGATGGGCCCCTGCAGTCCCAAATTTTAAAGCATTAACAGCCATTCACTCTGCTGCCCAGGGTCACTGTCCCCCCACTAGCGGTGGGGAAACTGAGGCATGGCACGATGAGGTGACACTCAGGGAGGCTGGGGTAGATCCTTAGAACCCAGCTGTCGTAGAATCATAAAGTATCAAATTTTCCACATCCTTCTTGTAGTCCGGGGCCCAAAACTGGACGCAGGACTCCAGTGTACCAGCCCAGCGCTCTGCCCACTAGCCCCCTCCCTGGCACCCCTGTCTGCTCAGCTCTGCCACCACCCTTGATGTAGCCTGGAGCCCAGACGGGAGTGGGGGGGACAGGGCTTCCTGTGGGGCCAGCCCAGCCTGGCAGGGAAGTAGCCAGGGTCTAGCTCAGGGGCGGGCAAACTTTTTGGCCTGAGAGCCGCATCGGGGTTCGTAAATTGTATGGAGAGCCGGGGAGGGGGGCGTGGCCCAGCCCCCACCTCCTATGCACCCCCTCCCCGGGACCCCTGCCCCATCCAACTCTCCCTGTTCCCTGATGGCCCCCCCAGGACCCCTGCCCCATCCAACCATCCCATCTCCCTGTCCCCTGACTGCCCCCTGCCGCCCCATCCAACCCCCCCTCCCCTTCCTGACTGCCCCCCGGGACCCCTGCCTCCATTCAACCCCGTTTCCCCCCTGACCAGCCCCCGAACTCCCCTGCCCTCTAGCCAACCCCCCTGCTCCCTGCCCCCTTACCGTGCTGCCTGGAGCACTGGCGGCACTACAGCCATGCACCGCGCAGCACAGAGAGGGGGTCAGGCCGGGCACTGCAGCCGCGCTGCCCCGGGAGCTCACAGCCCAGAGCACTGTGGCGGGGCGAGCTGAGGCTGCGAAGGATGGGGAACAGCGGGGAAGGGGCCGGGGCGAGCTTCCCGGGCCAGGAGCTCGGGGGCCGGGCAGGAGGGTCCCGCGGGCCGTAGTTTGCGGGGCTAGCCCAGCCCCAAGGGGAAGTAGGCAGGAGCTAGCTAGCGCCACTGGCCCAGGACATCCAGCAACCCCCAGAGTGGGGAGGAGCTGGCTGGGGTCAAGCCCCATTTGGGGGGTGGGGAGGGCTAGGTGCCCCCCAGAACCAGCTGCCCCTGCCTGCATGCAACTTGGGAAACCACATGCTTGCCCTGCCCTGGGTTGCTCCGTACGCCCACAGCCACTGCACCCAGCCCCCCAGCCCTGGCAAAGCTGGGCTGTGCTGAGGAGCGGGGGGTGGGTGGCCCATGCAGACCCCATTGTCCCAGTGTGGTGCTCACCCAGCAACTGCCACCCCCTCGCCCTGCCCCACAGCACCAGTTGGCAGCTGGCTTGGCGCCAGGCCCACAGCTGCCCCACTGCAGGCAGAGTGGTGGGCAATGCCTCCCCTCGGTGCTCTGCATCCTCCCCACCATGGCTGCCCTGCCCTTAACTAACCCCCTGGGCCCAGGGGAGTTTGTCACGGCCTGGCCCCCATCATAGTGTAGGGTTGCCACAGCTGCCGTGCCCCACCCCAGAGGTGGCTGCATGTCAGTGGCTGGCGACCGATCCCTGTAGGCTCCCAACCCTGTCTCTCGGGCATTGCCAGGCTGGGGTCGAGCTGGTGTCGGTGGACGGGGCAAGCCTGCAGAAGGTCACCCACCAGCGAGCGGTGGACCTCATCCGCCAGGCCTACAGGACCAACCGGCAGGCGCCCATGGAGCTGGTGGTGAAGGTGCCCAAGGCGTGACACAGCCCAGCCAGGGACAGTGCCAGGCCGGCAGCGACGGGCTGAGGGGACAGCCGGACAGACGTCTTCCAGGCCCACGGCAGGACAAGCAGAGCCCGTGGCGACGGGCCTCCAGCCCCACGAGCCTGACTGCAGCAGGGGAAGAGCCCCCCCCCCGCCCCCGGCTCAGTGCGCTGCCCGAGAGCACCAGGTGGCCTCAGCCGGGCCTGGCACGTCCTTGACATGCTGGTCTTGGGTTCATGGGCGAGACTCAGCCCCGGGGGCAGGGGGGAGCAGCAGGGGGCTACCATGCCATGGGGCTGCAACCCACGCCTACCCCGCACCTTCCCCAGCTGAGCCAGGCTGCCCCCATGTGTCGCCTCCTGCAGGTGACAGGTCACCGTGTTATACTGGCCCTCCGTGCCTGCCCCTGCTGGGCTAGTGAGGGGGCCGGGCCGGCCCCTAGGGGGACCATGTGGCACCAGCGAGGGTGCAGGGTGGCTGCTCAGCTCCCGCAGGAGGGGTCACGGGGTTGGGACTGTCCTTGCTCCAGCAGCCCTGGCGGGGAGGCTGGGAGGGCAGCGCCCGAGGCCCCCCTGTGCCGCAGTCCAGCTGGTACCTCGCAGGCCGGGGCAGCTCCCAGCCACGGCCCCACAATCCCTCTCTGAGCTGGGGGGCCCGGGAGAGGCTAAAAGCCCTACTACTGCTGCCAGGAGCTGCTGGGGGGCTGTCCCGCTCCCCTGCCACAGCCTGGCGGGGGAGGGGGGGCATTGCTTCGAGCAGGCTGCTTGTCAATGACCCCCCCCATACCCCTGCCCCCCGGGGAGCGCTCCACTAGCCGGCTCCCACTGTAGGTTGTTAACCTGTGTGGGGCACCCCATGCACTTTACAGGTACCCGGGTTCAGCCAGCCCCTGGCATCTCACAGAAGAGGGCGAGGGGCAGCAGGGCAATGGCCCGTGGGGGGTGCTCACATTGCCCCCCTCCCTCCCCCAAGACACACACACGTCTCTTAAAAACAGAGGGGTGGGTTTTATTAGCACGTTCCTCTCGGTTTGTACAAGAAATTTACACAGCCTGAGAACCAGACAAGGTCAGAAATAAAGTAAAAAAACCCCAACCCACTGGCTGGCGCTGCCCGGGGCAGGGGGGAGGATTGGTAACAAATGGATGGAGCCAGCCCAGATGTTCCTTTGGTCTAGTGCCAACCCTGCCCTTCGTGCCAGGGCAGCCGGGCACCCCAGGGCGGACGGGGGGGGGGCTGTAGCTGGAGGGATGGGCTGGTCAGGCTGGGGACGCTGCCAGTGCCCGATTGGGCACATCGGTTCCCAGAGAGGGGCACAGGCTGGGCATAGCAGCTGCCCCAGCCCCTCGGCTACACTCCAGCGAGGCAGGTGGCCCCCCCCACCCCCAGCTTCCCCTGTTTTCTGTGCCCTCGGCTTGGTATCACACAGTATGAGCAGGCCCCAGGAGGGGGCTGGCACCCGCGGGCGGGATGGGGGCCCAGCCCAATGTAAGGAAAGGGGCCCACTGAGGATGTGACTCAGCCAAGGGCTGGCAGGCATCTGGTCCACTCACCATTGCCCCCCCCCCGCCCCGCCTCTCCCAGCACAGGACCCCCCACACACACACGTGCGGGAGGGGTGCCTCCTACTGCTGCATGGTCCCCTGCATGTGAAACTCCCACCGGAAGGGCTGGAGCATTTCCCCCCCGGAGGGAGCTGGTGCCCAGGGCCTGGCCCAGCAAAGTCCCTGCCTAGCTCTGTATTGCCCATGGGGCCAGTCCCAGGGCAGCCTGGGACACGCCAGCCAGGCACCACACAGCCCTGCCCCTGCCCACAGCATGGCTGCCCTTGCCTCTCCACAGGCGGGCATGGGGGTGGGGGCTGGGCAAGGGTGGGGCAGTGAGCAGCACCCCATGCAGAGGTGCTCACAGCGGAGGGGGGGGCGGGGGGGGAGGAGACGGGACGTGCCGGGCAGAGGCAGCTGCTGGGCCAGAAGCAAAAGGCAAAGCCAGGCTGGGGCTGGCTAGCAAAACCGTGCAGCAGGCCCCTGGCAATGGAGGGGCAGGGGCAGAGCTCAGCACACGGGAACAGGAGGCAAAGGGCAGGGGTGTGCGCAGACCTCCCGGCCAAGGGATGGGAAGCAGAATCACGCCGGCTAATGAACTGCTACTGCACCCGGGGAGCCCAGACCCCTTTCTGTAGGGCCTACAAAAATGGAGTACCTTTGCATGGCACAGAAACGCAACCCTGCAAAGCCGGGTGTTTGGAACGCAGAGGGGCAGCCTGGCTGGGCAGGATCCCTCCGGGCAGAGGGACCACTGAACCCGATGGGCCACGGGCAGGGGATGCCAGGCACAGGGGCTGCACACCGTGGGCAGAGCAGCCCTGCACGCAGCCCGCTAGCTCCTGCCTGGTGAGTCCAGCCGCAAGGCGCGTCCCCCACTCGGTGTTTGCCCTGTGCCCTGCCCGCCGATACAGCCTCTGCGGGGAGCAGGCCCACAAAAGGAAGCCGATTTCCAAGAGGGGCGTGGAGATCCCAAGCCCTGGGCTGGACCCTGCACTGACTGGGCAAAGCCCCGGACTGCAAGCCCCCCTGGGGGGGCAGCCCGGGGCATGCTCGGGGCACGGCGCTGCTCTCACAGCTGGCACCGCAGACCACCCCTGGGGGAGCCCCACCTCACAGCAGGCTGGCAGGCGACACGCTGCGGGGCTGTGCCACCAAGCCTGGGGCTCACGCCAGCCCACCTGGCAGCCACGGAGGGACCCGTTCTCCCCGGCACAGGAGGGGGCTTCACCCCATGCAGACCACCACACAGCCCTGCTATCTCCTCCCAGCTCGATAGAGGCTCTGGGGCACGGCGGGCGGGGTGACAGGGCCCATACGGCAGAGAAATGATCCTGCCACCCCCCAGCCGGCTACAAGCAGGTGCTGCTAATCCCCTCCCGAGCGCTAAAGGGATCAGCTGTTAATCGGCTCTTCCCAGCAGCCAGAGGCCCAGCTCCCCCTCCCCCCCATGAACCAGCCATGGGCCCCTCTGCCAGCTGCCCCCCAAGCAGCCGGCTAACCCCCCTCTAGCTCACGGGGCAGCCGGCACAGCCCGGCTCAGATCTCGGTGGCGGTGATCTCTTCGAAGCAGATCTCGGCCCCGTGCAGGCCACACTCGTCCAGCCGCTGGGCCTGCAGCTCCAGGCTGAGCTGGTGCAGGTGGTGCTCCAGCTCCCGGTTGCGCCGGTACATCTGGATGTAGTTATGCTGCAGCTGTTTCTGATAGCCGATCACCTGGTCCTTCTCACCCTGCCAGGTGAGCCGCTCGGCCTCGAAGGCGGCCCGCTGCTCCTGGCCGCGCCGACGCTCCTGGAGCAGCTCGGCCCGCAGGCCCTGCAGCGTCTCGGCCGCCTGCCGCTGGGCCTTGGCCTCGTCGCTGGCCCACAGCAGGCTGGGCTCGGGCGGCTCCGGGCAGCGGGGCTGGCGCCGCGCCCCCCGCAGCCCCGCCACCTCCTGCTCCAGCCGGCCCAGCTTCTCCCGCAACAGCTCGGCCTCGCCCTTCCGGCGCTGCAGCTCTTTCTCGCACACCTCCAGCTCCAGCGCCCGGGTGCGTGCCGCCTCCTGCAGCCCCAGCGCCTGCTCCTCGCCCGCCTGCCGCTCCGCCCGCGCCTCCCGCAGCTGGGCCCGCAGCAGCAGCATCTCGGTGCCCCGCTGCGCCAGCTCCGTCTGCGACTCCTTCAGCTGCTGCTTCAGCAGGGAGATCTCGCCCAACTTCTGGCACACCTGGGGGGCGGGACGGGGATCAGACCCTGGGGCTGGCCCTGCCCCACCCCCAAAAAGAGCTAGGGTCCCCCGAGCCATTGGACAGCCTCCAGAACCTCCCACCCATCCAGCCACCAGTGGGGCTGCCCGAGCCAGGCCCTGCCCCTTTCCACCATGGGGTGGCCCCCGGAACTCCGCCCCCACCTCCCCATCACCAATGGGGCTGCTTGAGCCAGGACCCGCCCCTTCTCCCCATGGGGTGGCCCCCAGAACTCCGCCCCCACCTCCCCATCACCAATGGGGCTGCCCGAGCCAGGCCCCACCCCTTTCCACCATGGGGTGGCCCCCAGAACCAGGATCCTACCTCTAAGTTACATGTTTGCCAATGACACATCGGCCTAAGCAAGCCCTCCCGCCCCACCGCCCTCCAAGAGGGCGACCTCCAGAACCGGAGCTGCCTCCCAACGGGGCAGCTTGGCTTTTAGAACCGGCACCAGACGGGGCGGCCTGCAGAACCAGAAGCCCCCCACCCCCACCGAACAGGAGTCCTCCCCCATCCCCCCGCGACAGCCTTCCAAGACGGGGGAGGCGAGTAGGGAGACCATGAGGCAGCATTCGGAACTGCCAGGGGCGGAGAATCCAGCACAGCCCTGGGGGAACGGCTCCGACGGTGAACTACCCTCCCTGTGCAAACGTCCGCCGTGGCTGGCTAGCGTCCTCTGCCGGCCATCGAAGGGCGGCAGCCCCGTCCCTGCGAGGCCGACGGGCCCACTATTGAGTATTTGCTCCCCGGGTGGAGGTTTCTAGACTGGGATCGAGTCCCCCCTCGACCTTCTCTTGCCGGTGCCCCACAAGTCTCACCATCAGGGCTCCAAGCGCCCCGGCCAGCTGGGACTGGAGCCAGGGGCCCCATCCCACCCGGTCCCGGCTCACCTCCCACTTGGTCTCCTCCAGCCGCGGCCCCAGCTCGGTCTGCTCGCGCTCGAAGGAGGCGCACCTCTTCTCCAGCTGCTCGCGCTCCTGCAGCAGCTGGGCAAAGTCCTCCTGCAGCTTCTTCTTCTCCTGCTGCAGCTGGAAGATCTGCAGCTGCAGCACCTGCTGCGTGCGCTGGGCCTTCTGGGCCGCCTGCTTGACCTGGGAGGCGTAGCCCTGGCGCAGCTCCTCCGTCTCCTGCTCACAGCGCTTCTGCTTCTCCTCGTACACCTGGGGCGGGGGAAGAGCGTCACCCGGGGGGCCCCGCGCGGCCACGGCCTCCAAACTCTGCCCCGCAGACCCAGCGCAGCCCATGGGCTGCCCCTGATCGCAGCCGTCCTCCGCTAACGCTGGGGGTGCCCTGCACCCACTTCAGCTCCCAGCATGTAGTGCGTCGCCCAGGCCTGAGCACATGTGGAGATGCGGTTCACAGAGACTACAGCTCCCAGCATGCATTGTGGCAACCAGGCCTGAGCACATGTGGAGATGCGGTTCACAGAGACTACAGCTCCCAGCATGCAGTGCGTTGCCCAGGCCTGAGCACATGTGGAGATGCGGTTCACAGAGACTACAGCTCCCAGCATGCATTGCGGCAACCAGGCCTGAGCACATGTGGAGATGCGGTTCACAGAGACTACAGCTCCCAGCATGCATTGCGGCAACCAGGCCTGAGCACATGTGGTTCAGGAAACTACAGCTCCCAGCATACATTGCATCGCCCAGGCCTCAGTGCATGTAGACATGGCTCATCAAGACTACAGCTCCCATCATGTATTGCATTGCCCAGGCCTGAGCACATGTGGAGATGCGGTTCAGGAGACTAGAGCTCCCATCATGCATTGCGGCACCCAGGCCTGAGCACATGTGGAGATGCGGTTCACAGAGACTACAGCTCCCAGCATGCATTGCAGTGCCATGGCTACTCTGCAGGAGGTTGCGCATGGCATGCTGGGTATTGTAGGCTTCACGGGCTGCCTGTTCACACTGAGAACATGGGGCCCCACGGACAACCCTGAGACCTGCCCCCTGCCTGCCTTCCCCCTCGGGGAGCCCATGCTCGGCACTGGCATTCTCAGGCCAGGCCTGTGGTGCCCCTGCCCACCTGCACAGCTCTGCCGCGGTTCCAGCAGTTCCAGCAGGGGGCGCTCCTGAGCGGGGAAGGCATTTACTGCCTGCACCCCTAGGGGGCGCTCAGAGGGATCAGGCTCCAAATGCACAAGCCTGCTACCTGCCCCTCCCCCACCTCAGCCCTTCAAACACCAACCCCACCCCCTAGTGTCCAATTGCCACCCACATGCCCAGCCCCCCGCAGACACGCCCAGCGCCTCCAGCTGCCCGCGGCGGCAGGCCTGGGAGTCGCTGGGCTCGCCCGCCGAGCCGGGTACCTGGCAGATGGCCACCTCGTTCTCATCCAGGCTCTGGCGCAGGTGCTGCAGCTCCGCCTCCCGCTCCCGCAGCTTCTCCTCCAGCTCGCGGACAAGCAGAGCCTCGTCGCCCTCGACGGGCGAGCGGGCGCAGGAGCCGCCATCGGAGGAGGGGGGGCCCCGCCCGCTGAGGGAGCCCGTGCTCTTGCTGGAGGAGGAGCGCCCGCTGTCCGAGTTGGAGGGGCCGGCCAGGCCCCGGGAGCCCCGCTCCGGGTAGCCGCCGTGACTGTCCAGGCTGAGGTGGCCCATGGAGATGCTGGCCGGCTCCGGCGGCTGGCTGCAGCCCGTGCTGTAGGTGGGCAGGCTGGAGAGGGAATTGCGCCCCGAGTCCGACAGGGTGCCCGAGTGGGCGCTGTGGCGGCAGCTCAGGGAGTGGTGCTTCTCGGCGCTGGCCGTGGCGGTGCCGCCCAGGAGGTGGGCGAGGCTGGCCTGGCTCTCGGGGACCACCGACGCCCCGGGCCGCGGCACCACGTACCCCGGTAGCGAAGAGTTCCTGCCCTTGGGCACGACCGGCTTGAAAGCCGTCGGACGGATCAGGGTCTTCTCGACGTTCTGAAAGGCATAGAGCAGAGACCATGGGGCGGCAGGATGGGGGCTGAGGACACCCTCCTCTCCCCCCCCCCCCACTGACACAACACGGTGCCACCCCTGCCAGATCTTCAGACCCGGCCCAGCACCCCAGGCTATGCGGCCTGCCAGACTTGGCGCCTTCTAATCAACACCTCGTGGGGACGCAGCGTGGCCTAGCAGACTTGGACTCAGGGCACCTGGGTTCTAGCCCCGGTTTGGCCCCTAGCCCATTGGGTGGATGACCTTGGGCAAGTCACTGCCTCGCTCTGTGCCTCAGTTTCCCCCTCTGTCAAATGACAGCGATGCCATCCTCCTAATGCGCTTTGGGATCTCCGGCTGTTACGCGCTGTCTGACAGCGTGGGCTGGGGACGGTGCCGGGATCGTCACCCCCACTCCCCAGCCAGGAAATGGAGTCACGGAGCGGGCAAGTGATTTGAGCAAGGTCACCCAGCCAATGAGCAGCAGTGCCAGCAGCCACAAGTCTGGACTACTAGGCAACACTCCCTCCCAAAGCCTGGGATAGAGCCCAGGGGTCCTGGCTCCCCACCCCTCTGCTCTAACCACTAGACCCCACTGCCCAGAGCCAGGGATAGAACCCAGGGGTCCTGGCTCCCCACCCCTCTGCCCTAACCACTAGACCCCACTGCCCAGAGCCAGGGATAGAACCCAGGGGTCCTGGCTCCCCACCTCTCTGCTCTAACCACTAGACCCCACTGCCCAGAGCCAGGGATAGAACCCAGGAGTCCTGGCTCCCCACCCCCCACCTTCCTTTGTTCAAATACAGACAGCGAAAAGGACATTTTTTCCTCAGTTGAAAATTGTAAAGCAGCGGCTGAATGAGGAGGCAGGCAGGGGAGCTGAGATCCGGGAGGGGAGCACAAGCCGGGCCTGAGGCCAATAAGAGAAAAATCCAGCAGCGGCAATTCATTTTACTTCGCCACTTGTCCCAAGCCCCCTGGCTCTGCCTGGGCGAGCGCGGCTGGGGGAGGGAGGCAGGAGGGGGCCCTGCAATGGTTCCTTCTGGCCATGCAACGGCCTTTGGTTTTCACTGGGAAAAAAACCTCTAAATGTTCCGTTTTCTTGATGAAAGCGGACACTGATCCTCTGTGTGGTTCCCCCTCCCCGCTGAAATGAACGGGGACCCCCCCCCAATAGCCCATTTTCTAAACTGCCCTCTTCTGCTAAGGGCGGGTCAGGAGCAGTTTGGCAGATCGGGGCCATCGACTCGCTTTGAGCCAGATCCCCCCCAAAGCCATCGCCGGCTCCCAGCCAGCCCCAGGCCCCCCAGCGCTCAGAACCCTGGGTGAGGGGGGTCTCGGCCCAGCTGCCCACAGCGCAGAGGGCCAGGGGGGCATCAGTGCTGGGCAACCTCAGCAGAGAGGCCAAAGGCCGAACGGGCTACGGGGACCGAGCCCGCCTCTGCACTCCCCACCCCCCCGGGCCCCCGCCACAGGCTGGGCTCCTGACCCAGAACCTCAGGGCAGCTCTAGCGGGCTAAAGGGGCAGGTCGGCTGGGGTTCCGAGCTGGATCCGAGGGGCCCAGGGCAGCAGGTTAGTGTGACCCCAGGGTTTCCCATAGCTCCCAGTCGCCCAAGGGGGCCTGGAGCAGCTCATCGCCTGCTCTCCTCAGACACCACCGCTCGGCTGCTGGCTCTGGCATCCCTCTGCCCCACCCCCCAGGAGCGCTCCCCTCCATCCAAGGGGTGTGACGACCCAGCCGCCATCGACCCCGATCCCTTCCCCAGCCCCAGGCCACCCCCTTCCTGCAGATGGGGCTCCCAGCTCTGTCCCCAGCTCGCCCTGCAATGGCCCTGCCAGGGGATCTCACCAGGTTAAAGGATTCCCAGAGCAGGACCTGTGGAACTCCTTGCCGCAGGAAGGCAGGAGCCACATTCTGGGGCTGAAGCAATGCCACCGAGCGAGGCCAGGCTGGGGCATGGACTTTGCCAGCCGCTCCAGCTCCCTGGAACTCCTCCCCACATCCCGCACTTGGGACCCCCAAACCTCAAGGCAGGGCACATTCGAGGCAGAGGGGGGGTACTTGCTTCCCACCAGGGGGTGTTGCCTGCAGGAGGGATTTAAGAGCCATGCTCCCTGAAGCACAAGCCAGCAAACAACCAGCTCCAAGTAGTGAGGCAGCCATGGGCACCAGCTGTCCAGGGCCCAGCGCCAACGATCACCCTCCTGGGGGGCACCAGCAGCAGAGTTCCCACAGCTTGGCCTGGAAGCGCCCGGGGCCATCCTCACCCTCGAGGGGCACCAACGGGTTAGTGCGCCCCGGGTCTGACGGGGCAGCGGGGGGCTGGAAGAACCCACTTCCCCTATAAGAACAGGAGCACTAGGGATCGGCGGCTCTTACACTAAGCAGTGTGTGCCCACAGCCCAGTCGACCTGGCAAACTAGGGCCGGTGACAATGAACCTCCCCCAGGGCAGAGGGGAAGCCAGAGGCGCCTGTGGGTTCAGTGGCATTGCCAGGTCAATTGACCCCGTCTCTGCAGCTGGAATGTGGGGGAGCAGGTACCCACTAATGCCAGGCAGCTGCCCACTGCCTCTGCAGCTACAGGACGCTGCCAGCGTGCCAGCGCAGCAAAGGAGCCACCAGGCAACAGCAGGCCCCAAGACCAAGTACAGGGAGAGATGATGCCCGCCGCTCAGGGCCTGCGGAACTCCCTGCTGCAGGAAGGTAGGAGCAGCATTCTGGGGCTGGACTAGGCTCCCTTGGGCAGCTCCTGCCCACCTGGTGCTGTCTACCTGCTGGCACCACTAATGATGGCACGGATACCAAGTAAGGAGGGGAAAGCACCGCTGTACGTCAGGGTGGAAGCCCATGGCGAGGGGGGTCAGGAAGTAACTAGCCCTCCCCGCCCCATGGACAACTAAACAGGGCAAGTGTATCGCTGGGGAATGGGGCAACTGTCTCCAGAGCCGTAGGTCTTGGTGACTGCTGGAGGCAGGATGCCCCACCCAGATGCCCCAATGGCCTGGCCCGGCGGGGGGAGGGGATGGACACAGCCCAGCCACATGCACCCTCCCCCCATCTTCACCTTCTCCAGCTGCCCGGAGACGGGGACCAGTCTCGGGGGCGGCCCCTGGATGTTGCCGCTCCGAGCCCGATCGTCCCGCGGCTCCTCGGCGTCACTGCAGGGGCTGACGGGGGACACAGCCTTGGCCCAGAAGTCCTCGCTGGCGTAGGCGCCGCCCCCGGGCACCGGGCCAGAGCAGGGCTTGGCGGGGGGCAGCCCCTGGAGCAGCCCGTCCTGCTGGCGGAAGGGGCCGGGCGCGGCCTTGCACGGCCGCTCGTGGCAGGGGCGGCCGGAGATGAGGCTGCTAACGCTCCCCATGGTGCCGCAGGCAGAGGCGGGCGAGCGGGCGCCGGCGCGGAGCTGGGTGGCCGCCTCAGAAGCGGGCTCGATGGAGACGGGCCGGGTCTGCACTATGGCCATGGTGTGGGGGGGCTCAGACGGGGGGGACCACGCAGGCAGCCTGCAGGGAGAGAGGGAAACCAGCACTGAGCCCGCGGGCACCATTGCCCGCCTCACGCACTGCCCTCCCACGGGGGCACCACTGCCCTCCCACGGGGGCACCACTGCCCTCCCCACCCACCTGCAGGGGCACTGTCCCCCCCTCACCCACCACCCTCCTGCAGGGGCACCGCCCCCCCCACCCACTGCCTTCCCACGGGGGCACCGCTTCCCACCCACTGCAGGGGCACCGTCCCCCCCACCCACTGCCCTCCCACAGGAGCACCCCTCCCCACCCACCTGCAGGGGCACCATCCCACCCTCACCCACTGCCCTCCCACAGGGGCACCGGTCCCCACCCACCTGCAGGGACACTGTCTCCCCCACCCACTGCCCTCCAACGGGGGCACCGCTCCCCACCCCCCATATCACCCACCTGCCAGGGACAGCACCCCACTCGCACCCCCCGCCCGCCTCCAACCAGCTCTCTGCAGAGCTCAGGGTCTGCCTGGCCAATTCAGGGGGCCCCGAACCCAGTCTGCTCTCCCCACCCTGGGTCATGGTTGCTGAGCAGGGACCCCTGCCCCTCCCCGAGACTGGCTCCCTGCACCAGTGACGGGTCTGAGGCCTGGACCCATCCGGAGCAGAGCCCGACGACTCCTCGCCCAGCCCAGACCCCGGGCACGGCACAGCTGTTTCAACCAGCCCTGCCCGGGCAACCCCCAGCCCCACGTCCTCCCCTCCTGCCGCAGGCATTTGTTTGTCCCTGGCCCGGCTCCTGCTGCCGCATTCCCCCTCGGTGGCCGGGTCCTCTTGTTCCCAGCACAATCGGCATCGCCCGGCAACCGGCCTGGGCCGGGCGCGGATTAGGGAGCAATAATCCAGCCGCAGCCACTCAACTCGGAGGAGATAAAAGAGCTGGTTTTCCAGTAAATGCCCCTGGCAGAGCCACGCCTGAACCACCAGCCCAGAAACTGGGGGGCGCCCGGATCCCAATTTCCCATCTGGGCCAAACCAAGCGCCCTAGAACCTCCGCCCGCAGGCCCAGCCAGAGACCGGACCCGGGGAGAACAGAGTCCAAGCAGGAAGGGTTTTCATCGGGGGGATGTTAAGGGAACCCGTGAGTTTGTGTTTCCTTAAATCGGAGCAGGGGCCAGCGAGCTCCAGACCTGATCCCCCCACACAGCCGAGCACACAGGGGGCAGCAGCTGCTCGTGAATCTCTTCAGTCACCCCCACCCCCCCGCCCCATTCTGTGTGTCAGACCCCAGGGAGGGCGAGGAGACAGGACCCCATGCAGTGGGTTGACAGCCAGTACCACCCAGGGACCACGTGGGGCAGGACGCGCTCCGGATTCCAGCCGGCCATTTACAAATCAATGAACTGGGACACAGGAGACTTCGGGTCAAGTCCCGTCTCTGCCACTGACTCGTCATGTGACCTCGGGTGAGTCACTGACTCATTCTGTGCCTCAGTTTCCCCACTTGCAAAATGGGGATTACCGCTCCCTCCCTCGCAACAGGGGGTGTGTGGGTGGGAGGGTAAAGCCGGGCCCTACAAGGAGCTTGACAGACGAAAAGGCCAATCAGGAAACGAGGCCAGAGAAATGAATTGGAGGAATCCCTGGAGACCACTCAGCGGCCCAGCTGGGCAGGGCCTGTCCCTTTAAGAGCCATTCCTGCCCCCCTCCCCAGCACTAGGGCCACGTGAGGAACACGGGGAGTTAACCAGCGATGATCACTCGCCCAGGGACCCAGAGTGATGCCCTCCCCCACCCCTACAGCAGGTGCTGGTTCAGGAGGGAAGCAAGGGATTGAGACAGGTGCCTCCTGGACAAGGTTCCCCCTCCTCTCCCCCCAGCTCTGCTGGTGCCCCTCAATCCCAACCCACTGCCCCCCACCACCTCCAGCCGCACCCGCGTGTCCCTCCCCCGCCCACAGGGCCTGCTCTCTGCTGTAACCCCCAACACCAACCGGCCATGCAATAGAAGAAGGGTCCCGGCCATGCCCCACGAGGGGGCACCACGATGCCGCTTGGTAGAGTTAGGGAGGACACCCCAGGGGTGCTGCACCCAGAGCCAACGCCTTGGGGCCCTGCCCATAGGCATCATTCAATTAGGGTAACTGTACAGGCAGGACACAGCCATCCCAGGTGGGGAGGGACTGGTGGTCTGAGCACATGGTTAGGACCCTCCCATGCTCTGTGCCTCAGTTTCCCCAACTGTAAAAGGGGCTGCAAGGCCCAGCGCTGGGAGACTGAACACTGGCTCCCCCCTCGGCCCGGGCTGGGCTCCGCACTCTTCCTCCGGGAGACAATCCCCCAGGCTCACAACCCCCACAACCCGGCCTGCATCACCCTGGGCTCAGCCCCATGGCCCCCCCAGACCCCCCTCATCCATCTCACCCCGGCCCAGCGAGCTTTGCTCCCGGCTCTGTTTGTCTGGCAGTTGGAGGCTCCTGTATTAGCCCGGAGCCAACAGCTCCCCTGCACCCCCAGCCCAGCCAGGGTCCCCTCCAGCAAGGGAGGGGGGTGAGACCTCCCCTCCCCCACCCAGCTCATCTCCCTCCAGGGCAGGGGAGGCATCTGCTGAAGCTATCAAGGTAGAAGCCCATCGGCCTGGAACAGACTCAGTGACGCTGACACGACGCGAGCATCTGGGCCCGTTCCCATTTCCCGGGCCGTGGAGCAGAGCCAGAGACGCCTGCCAAGAGACAACCCCCAGCTGCCCCCGCAGGCGTGGGAACCTGCATCAGCTCTCGCCGCAGCCCCCTGCTAGCCCAGCCCTGGGGTCCCACCCCCGCTCTGCCGGTGCCCCTCACTCCCGAGCTGCAGCCCCCTGCAGGCCCAGCCCTGGGGTCCCACCCCCGCTCTGCCGGTGCCCCTCACTCCCGAGCTGCAGCCCCCTGCAGGCCCAGCCCTGG